TCCTAATCACTCACCCCCCAAAACAACAACCAAAACAAAACCCCTCGTCGGAAAACTCACCGGCGCTAACAATATTCATCCAGCCATGCCGGCCTCCCTCCAGCTCCAACGAACCCCATCTTGCCAGTACAAGCAGCAGCAGCCGCCGGCCGAGTGCCGGCACGTGCCGCTCCTTATTCAGGCACGTGACCAGGACGACGATGCAAACAACAACAACGAAGAAGAGGACTGCGGCGCCATGGTGCCGGAGTACGTGGCGCGTCACCACGCGCGGGCGCTGGGCCCCAACCAGTGCTGCTCCGCGGTGGTGCGGCGCATCGACGCGCCCGTGTCCACCGTGTGGTCGGTGGTGCGGCGGTTCGACAACCCGCAGGCGTACAAGCACTTCCTCAAGAGCTGCCACCTCATCCGCGGCGACGGCGACGTGGGCACGCTCCGCGAGGTGCGCGTGGTGTCGGGCCTCCCCGCGGGGAAGAGCACCGAGCGCCTCGAGATCCTCGACGACGAGCGCCACGTCATCAGCTTCAGCGTCGTGGGCGGGGACCACCGCCTCCACAACTACCGCTCCGTCACCACCCTCCACCCCGCGGCGGCGGGGACGGTGGTGGTGGAGTCGTACGTCGTCGACATACCGGCCGGGAACACAAAGGAGGACACGTGTAGCTTCGTCGACACAATCGTGCGGTGCAACTTGCAGTCGTTGGCCCAGATCGCCGAGAACATGGTGGCGGCGGCGGCGGCCGGGGAAAACGATGTTAATTAATAACCCTCCTCCAGCTTCCTCGTAATTACTTGCTTTCATCCTCGTACTAATCTTTCATTAATTGGGGCTTCACACGTCATTAGGTGTGTTTTTTTTTAGTTTAGTAGGTATATGAACATGTTGTACGAACATCGAAGGTAAAGTGTTCGGTTCGATTTTTCGATCCTTCCGACGAAAGGGTTTGAGATACCGGCAAATGAGTGAGGAGATCAAAAGTATATTGAGATCGAAGGTGATATGATGATCGACAATGTTATATTGTATCATCTTTGATTTTACTTTTGATGGGGTTTTTTTTTCTCGTGGTTCTTCAGTGTAGTAAGTTAGTTGTAATTGTCTCCTTTCTCTGGGTAATTTCTTAGGGTTTGGTGTCAAATATGTTGGTTAAAAAGGAATGGATCATTGTGAATAATAGTGCATCTTTTGTCTTGACATTTTTTTTTCTGAAGCAATGTCTGCGACTTATATCGCTCGTATTGGTTCCCAAAAATTACTAAAATTCCAAATGTTTTAGTTTGCCGACGATTGTTTGATGTACGGGTTATGTCTCAACACTTTGAAATGGCTAGTTAGGTGTTGTGTTTTCGCCAAAGAGAATGATCGAGATTGAATTTCGAAGGATTATACATATAGGGTACTGTCATGATATCGCTATGCAGCTATGCGCTAGAAACTCCTCATACAAAATTGAGGTGATCTTTTTCCGAAATCGATATTTCTACAGGTTTCATATACATGCGGAATTAAACCCAAATAAATTACCTGATTAACATGTTGATTAAGTAATAAGATACGAATAATCTATTGATTAAAAAAATTATGTTTAGTACTAATGGATCGGCTGTTTCTGGGGTAGGGGGTGGCTGCAGGCAGGCGGTGGCATGGTTTCTTGGCCGCATCAATTCATGAATGGCTATACTAACAATTTATGCTCGGCAAGTTGCCAACTTGGAGGACCTTAAATATTACAAACTCTCAACTTGTGTGTTATTAATTCATAGTTGGCAACTTGGTTGCCATATTTTTCTTTTGAATTAAATTTAAAATATTATAATATATTCATAACTTCTTTTGGTCCTTTTGAATTGTGTGTGTCTGGTTGTACCATATGGTCTGCAAGGGGGATGCTGCTGAAAAGGGCTTTCCTCCTGCTGCCTGCAAGTTGATACGCAAGTTGAGCAACAAAAGAAAGAAAAAAAGGGATTTTTTCCCCATCTTTGTTTCATTATTTGTTTTGGGTAAGACCAACTCCAACGCACGGGTCATATTTGGTTACATGGAAGATGGAAATAATTTTTTTTTTCCAACCCAAAAAAAGTTCTCCCGAATTTACAAATTTGAGAGGAATAGAGAAAGATTTATGCATAAATGGAAGGAAAGGGAGTTGTCATATTTGGTTGGGAAGGGGGAGGGGAAGTCTAGACGCGCACTTTGGCCCTCCTTTATTTTTTTTTTATGAAATAACTTCTTAGGTGAATTTCATATCGAAAAAGCATGGGAGAGATCCATAGTTCATAAGCAAGAAACCAAACTTAATTGACAAGACGCGTTTTGGGGTGAAATGAAGGAGTTCTTGTGAGAATTCCGAAGTTAAACGTGCTCAGTGTGAAGTACAACAAGGATGACTGACCTCATTGGAAGTCACCTTGAATTGCACCACAAGTCGAAACCGTGAGAATCGAGGCTCAAAGCGGACAATATCTTGCTCGGGAAAAGGTTCGGGATGTTACAGAATAAATGCTGATTTTATAGTATTTTAAGGATAGGATGCCGGCAAAACAAATATCACTTTCTAACTGGTATAAAAAAGATAACATTTTAATGACCATAAAGATATTACATTTTAACAATCATAAATTTTTTTTATATTAATTGTTCTCTCTTATATGCATTCATAAAATTCTCTCAATATCATTTCTCGCATTTCTCAAAATCTCTCACAAACAAAAATGTCAAGCAAGATCTATAAAAAAAATGTCAAGCAAGAGGGAGACAATTGGCAAGATGAAGAAGATGAGTACTTGTGCAAACCTTGGGTATCGATATTACGTCATCATTTTTGACTTGTTATTTCATCTTTATCATTTCTGTGTGTTGTGTTAAAAACAAAACGTAGACTTATGTAATGATCGTATTGAAAAGTCATTTCAGATTAACGATTATTTTCGCAAGAAATTTTGTGACCTAGAATGAAATCCCCCCTCCCCCTCCCCCTGAAAATTATGACGAATTATACAAAATTAAAGTGAAAAGAATATATTAGAATGTACATAAATGCGTGATAAATATTTAAAAGGGAAAAAATGAAGTTAAATTTAAGAGGGATAGGATTGGAGTAAAAAAATAAAATGAGAAGCTATATTGGAATATTTGAAAAGATAGAATTAAATTTGAATAGACGATGAGTTCAGAGTTTGTCTTGGTATTTATGCTTCTCTCTTTCTTGACATGTACCAAATAGTTGAAGAACTGGAATAAGAAAGTAAGACGGAAGTTTAAACTTGTCGGCATGCCAGAGCACAAAAGGTCGATGATTTGATTTGACCATCCGAGGGGCGAGCAACAGCATATATATGTATCAAATCTTGATCGATTGCCCAACATGATGATAAAGCTTGTTAACTCTTTCATTTTGTTCAGCCAACTTGCCATTTTCATCGAAGCCATATACATATATATTTATTATATCGAGGAACTAAGGGAAATGAGAGTGAGTGAGTTAGAAAAATGAACTTATTAACAAACACATGGGTTTTTGCCTTTTGGCGAATGCAAAAGCCAAAAGAGGGTAAGGGTGTTTGACTGTTTGTTATCCAAGGAAATGATGTTGTTCGGTTCATTTGTTTTCAAGAAAATAAAAGAGGGTAAGGGTGTTTGTGTGTAAATGAGTTAGTTTCAATAATTTGGGTGGATTGAGAGATTTTAAATTATGTATTTTATACTAATTATTAATATATTTTTTCAAATTCAAATCACTTATATGGATTTGAAGTTTTCACATGTTCAAATATCATGTGCTTAATAAATGAGTCATTAGAATTTGAACGAAATACATCTCAATCACAGAAAGTCTTCTATTTAATTCTGTTTTTTTATTAAAATTAACAAATTAGGTCATCAATATAACATTTTTTTTATTGATCTCAGTAACTCAAATTATCAGAACTAACTTATTTTGTTAAACTTAATAAACAATATCATAATTATAAATAAATAAAAAAGTTAGTTGGCTTCACTAACTCAAGTTACAAGCACTAACTAGTGTTGGGGTATGATATCCTAGTTTTCTCGCTATACAATTTGCATGCCAAATTCCCTCAAACGTCAAGCATATACCAACCAGTAGCCAGCGGTATCACCCCTCCCCCGCGGCCCGCCCCCGCCCAACCCTCAAAACTAAGGTTGTCAACCCGCGGGTTGATCCGGACCCGGTTAATCTAGTAGGTCAAGGGTTAATGGGTTACTCATTTTAGCCCGGAAATATGAAAGTTGTTATTATATTGTACTTATCCTGATAAATTATATCAAATCTCATATAACATATGAGTTATAACATATAACATTCCACCAAAATAACATGTCGTACGTAGATCCAACATATAGTGAAAATTCACGCACACTTATATAACATTAATATTCAAATGCTCAACTTAGAATTCCAAAGATTGAGTTAGGCGAAAAGAAAAATCGGAAAATAGCCGCATTTCGCAAACCAAAGAAAAAAATGAGAGAATTTGACCTCCAACCCAGTACCTTTTAGCGGTCGACCCAGCGGGTGCGTGCGGCCCGTTTTTTTCACTGGACCAAGGTCAAAGCGGGTCGACCCGCGGATTGACAACCTTGCTCAAAACAAATTGGCCTTTTTTCCGTGGCATTTCTCATGGATTGGCTTGTGGGCTTAATGATCGGCCTTATATAAAGCCCAAAACAAACATAGCGCTACATACAAAATAACTCTTAGTCCAAGGCTCAGGGCTTTAAGCCCATCCTACAATTTCGTAAAGCTCCCTTCCTTCCTTGCATCCTCAACCTTATTGTGTGCAATTGTGCAAATGAAGGTATGAATCACTTTTTTTTGGGGTAGAAAACAACTAAAGAAGACGTAATCTTCCGGTATGAATCACTTCAAAATATGCACAAATTGTAGAAAAAATCATCTCAATAAGCGAAAAGGATGTGGCCATACATCATGCCTCCAACCCTAATGGACTAGTGTCCAAATTTTCAATACCATTTCCTCTTTCAAGATATTTCGAATCGAAGAATATACACACTTATATCAAATGAGTCCAACACTTTAATTACTTAAACCGTTTATAAAGTTCTCATATATTTAATCCGATTCAACAAATTGTCTTCATAAATCCAATTAATGACCTAGATTTTTCTAAGCAAGTCCCAAATGAGTGAATGACCAAATCCCCAACTACCCCTTTACTAAATTCAATCAAATTCTAGTTCTTGCCTTTTATCTCTCCCTTTCACTATCATTGTTACATTGGAACAAAAACTTGTGCAATTGTACAGCACCCTCGCTCTCAAACCAGGTAGTAAGAACCCAAAAGAAATTGTTAAAGAAAATACCAAAAAAAGAGAAGCAATTAATTAACTAATTACATTTGTGATCAATCCATCAAATCATGGATAGAAAAGCTTGGCAAAAAGGAGCTCGTTCCAGGTATCTTGAAGCCCGGGGAGGCACCAGTGGGTGCAGTCGGCGTAGCTGACCGGGTTGGCCAGCTGCTCCGCCGTGAGTGGGCTCCACTGCTTCTTGTAGATGGAAGTGTGCGCGTCTTTCCGGTAGTTGGACAGCTGGGTTATGTTGAGCAACGTCACCGGGTACTTGGACTTCCCGAACTCCTCTCCGATCACCTGCATTATGCTCCTCCGGCTGTCGGACCCCCAGTACGTCGCGTTGTTGATCGGCGTCGTCTCGTTGTAGCAGTTCTTCCCTGGCTCGCCTCCCCAATCCCCGCTCCTGTTCAATGAAACATCATGTAACAATGTTAGATAATGATATTAACATCCATATAGTTAGCATTCTCTCAACAAAGTCAAATTATTGAGACCAGTTGTTGATATATAATATGATATCAAAGTCGGTTTATCATTGAGATCAAATATTAATTAGGCCCTCGTGATCGTAATACTAACATTTCTCTTAAAGCACATGCATGGTATGACGGACCGGTGCAAACTTCAAGTTCACGAGTTCACTTTCGTTTGATGGGGGCTATAAGGAAGTGGCCTGGTTAAGATTCATACATGAAAATTTTTCCAACAACTCGAGTTATTGGGTTCGATCGGTTCTATTTATTATTTCAAAGCTGGTATTAATTACCAAGTGATCTCGTGTATTCGAATCTCCAGAAATTAAAAATCTCAATATTAACAATTTATCTAAACACAATACGTGGTAGTTTATGCGCAAAATTCAAACCGGTGAATTGGTTTTCGTATTAAGTCACATGATGGTAGTTTATGCGCAAAATTCAAGTCGATGAATTGACTTTCGTATGAAGTCACATGATGGCTGGCAGTCATGTGCATAATTCAAACCGGTGAGTTGATTTTCGTATTAAGTCACAGAATCATTTTGAGTTGGGATGATGATTGATGAACTTACTTGGCGTGGGTAGGCGACATGCTGGTGAAGAAAACCCTAGTCGTCCTCGGATCCATGTTCTTCCTCGCCCACCGCATCATGCTCCGCATCGCCATCCTATACGCATCCTCCGTCGAAACCTCAACGATCTCCTTGGCCTCGTCGTCGAACGAGCCTTGCAGAATCTTCATCTTCAGCCCCGTCATCCACCATAGATACGTGTTGAAGACGACGACGTCGGCGCCCTTCCAGTGGCGGCCGTGCTTGTTGATGGATCCCCGGCGGACGATGCGGTCGGAGACGCGGTGGATGACGGCGTCGTCGGAGTTGGACTCGAGGAGGAAAGGGGCCCAGTAGAACTCGATGGTGGCGTTGTAGTCGGCGGCGGTGAAGACGGTGAGGGAGCCGGTGGTCTCCATGGACTTGGCGGACTCGTTGGGGATCAGGCGGTGGACGAGGCAAACCATGGACACGTACTGCCCGCGGTTAAGGGAGTCGCCGACGTACATCATGCGCTTGCCACGTAGGCTCTCCAGCATCAGCGTCGCGTTGAAGCTGCATATATGTTTACATCAACAAGAGTGAGGCTCTCTAGCGTCGCGTTGAACTTGTTCGATAATGTAAGTTTGGTTTATACGATAAAAGAATTTGTACTTATGTGGTACAAGTGGCTTACTATAATGTTAAAAGTATAAGTTATGTTTGTACCATAAATAAAAGGATTAATTTCACCAGCAAGTCCAAACTATCCTAAAAGTGTCATTTGTGTTCTAAACTATTCGATATGACAAATCTTGCACAAACTATGTGCTTTTTGTGACATTTGTGTTATTCAATTATGACAAATCTGGCACAAAACCACATAGATGTTGACTAGATTTTCTGTTAAATACTAACGGTCAACGGCAGTCAACATTATAGAAAAATAGTTCGTACCAGATTTGTTATATTGAATAGTTTAGGACACAAATGACATTTTTTGAATAATTTGGACTTTCTAGTGGAATTAGCCCTAAATATAAAAAAAAATCAAAACACCGATACTATAAAGTATTGTAAAATTTCTTATATTTTTAATATATATACTCACTGGAAGATCTGATTAACTACCGGAAGATAGTAAAACCACAAGAAAGAAGTAATTTTTTTTAATCCATCATTAGGATCATTGGATTTTATCAGATCTAATAGAATTTTAATTAAATATCCAAATTCACAATAATTGAATCTATCGCCTCTATAGTACTATTTTACTAGATGATAAGCATATTAGTAGTATATTAAACTAAGTGAATGTTATGTATAAAATATTTTAATCGAAACATATATGTCAAATAAAGCATATATATAATCTCTCACAGGAAACAAGAAGAGAATCAGATAATTATACACGAAAACGCACGACCTGAAAAACAAGAGGGAGGGATCGTGAAAATCAAAGGACTTCTTCTTCTTCCCATTATTCCCGGCGTGGTGCACGTTGCCAGAGACATACAAGAATACTTTAAAAAAAAAGTATACAACCTTTTTTTTTATAATTACTGTGAAAACACCCATTATTGTTCCTTACGAGAGAACAATAATGATTGAATCTGCATATATATGAATATGAGGACTGAGGTCGACCATGATCTCGCATTTTAACTTATCTTGCGACGTACATAATTCTTTTATTCGTAGATAGCTTCAATAGAATAATAATATATATAAAGTTCAGGCTAAAGCCGGAACCGGCCGCACCGCCGGCCGTTCATTACACCCGAACTCATTTTCACATCGTTTGGGCTGACCGCCGATTGGATATATCTCCTTTCACAAAAGTCCATCAGTAAACAAACTAACTAATCACCTAGTTAGCCGTCGGCAAATCCAATGCCAGCTCACTCATGAGTCATGCCGACCAAATTATACTAACCACCACGTTAAATTACAATCACAAATCATAATTACAAGCTAATCACGGAAACATATATACATTGTACACTGACCAAAATATATACCAGCCTTGGAAAATTCGAGTAATTTCTTAGGATCATCATCATCATCATCATTATTAAGTAAGATACAAGACAAGACAGGTGGAGGTGGGGGCGTGTTAAGTACATAGTAGTTCAACCAACTGATAAATTAATTACTATGTATGATTAACAATTATCCCATCCAATTAATTTGCAGTCGAGAAAAAAAAAAACCAAAAAACGGAAATGAATTTTATTTACCTGGGGAGATCACAGCCGTGGGGTTGCCATCTCCAGAACTGGTAATCCCTATCTGGACGGCCGTGCGCCTGACACGTCAGCTGCGGCTGGATGTACGGACACTCCGATTCCTCGTACAACGGCCCGGCCGTCTCGTCCCAAACCCACCTCCCGCTGAAGTAGTCGCACCCCGCCGGCTTCTTCCCCACCGCAAACGCCGGCTCCACCTCCCACTTCCGACGGGGAGAAGGGTTGCCGGCGACGACGTCGTCTCGAGAGGAGTAGGGGTCGAGCTGGCCGAGGAGGCACATGAAGTCCTGGCCGTATAGCGTGACGACGAAGACGATGAAGGCGAGGAGGGTGAAGAGGAAAGGCGACAGGCCGCGGGCTTTTCTCAGAGGGAAAGCGGAGGAAGAAGAAGAAGAAGATGAAGAAGAAGAAGGAGGAGAAGGGGATCTTGGGGTCTTCATTATTTTGCTGTTTTCCCCCTCGATCCCGTCGACTGAGAGTCTTCAGTTTTGAGAGCGAGGTTGTATATAGCTAGGTTGAACGAAAGCTATGATGATTATATTATACGCAGTGATTGTGATTAATGGCGTATTTTGGTTTAAGGGTAAAACTTGTTAATAAGTAAGTAGGATCGTTCGTGCCCGGTCGAGAGATTATTATAATATAACTATATAAGTGGATTTGTTACTTGTTTTGTAAGTGAGATTTGTGGCCTTCCTTTGTATGGCCAGAGAGTGGAAATGTGCGTTGACTTATTTATAGGGAGGGAATATGTATCATTATTTAATGGGCCTCTATCATGTTTTTTTTTATAACATTGGTTTAATTTGTTTGGGGTTTTAAGTTTTTTTCATTATAATTTAGCTTTTACTTGCATTTCACTTCATTAGAAGCATGATTATCATTAAGAACGAAGATGAAAGTCGTTTGAGTAAAATAATCGACGGGACGTACTAATTCGTATGTGTAAAACAAAAAGGAAATGTGGCATGACATCACCGAGGAAAATAATGATGGGTGACAATGGTGGAAACTGCATGATCTATATTGTGTGAGAGGCAAATGGGTGGAGGCCGGAGGGTTATAATGTCACTTGGCTTGGAAGTAAAGTCATGTCTGCGAAAGCTCCTACATCATTGTCTCACTTTGTGGGCCAGTGGATTGGTTTTTTTCTTTTTTTAGGGTTTTTCTTTGACCAATAGTTAAGGAACGAACAAGGAGTGGAGGATGCTAAGCCATATAGTTTCTATATCTTCTGTTGTAAAATTGAAGAGATGTGTTTTAGGTGAGGATTTGGTAGAATTTCAGCGTCAAAGTGGTTGGGAAAATGTTTGTTTTCTTTGGATCCAACCATTTGAGTACCCTTAACTAACATGGATGAATCAATTATTAGTTGCAGCAATAATTCAGTTGAAACGGCCTAGCTTTGCTGCTCAATTGTATGAAAATTAACTCTCACGGATTTCATAGTGTAGCAGTATGAAGAAGTTGATGCTCATTGCACACTAAATTAACATCGATAACGATAATTATGCGATATAATTAATATAAAGGTAAAAAATTATGTTTGTATTTTGGGGTTGACAATCATTCTTTATTGCAACTATCTACGAGTTAGAATCTAACACGCAGTATATTTTTATCATTCTCACTTTATGATCATGACTATGCCTTACTCTTACTCATGCATCTTGCATACTATTAAAAAAAGAATTGGATATTATTATTTTCTTTTCCCATAAATCTTTTCAAATATTAAAAATCAGAGTAGCATAGAAATTTCATATATTTAAAGAATTTTATGCAAACCCTTTTTGAATAATTTTAATGCTTCACTAAGTGGAGCAAAGCAAAATCATTTGGTGGGTGTACGTTCTAACTAACACATGCTATAGCTAACTAACCATGGCTTAGAGTTGAATTTCATACTTCAATTTCAACGGGGGAAATTATATGAAGCCAGCTCAATTATTATAGCTTTAAACTTACCGGTTTTCGGACAAAACCATGGAAAATGGATTAGATATAAGACCTACCAATCGAGCACCTTGTGTGAATATAATTATTGATTCCTTAATACTGATAAGGCTACCCCATGGCTGTTGATTAACTGCAACTCTGCAATTCTTTGTTTCTAAGGAAAGCTCTCTCATTCATCTGGAAACAAACTTCTCTGTTGGTTGACAAATTAAGAGATTGGATTTGTGCGACTCCAGATCTTCCATGAATATTGGAGAAATTTACCACATGACACAAGGAAAATGGGTTCTTGCAAGTCTGGTGATCAGGATAAAACGGTCATTCGGATGCTCCTCGCCATAAGATCGAGCTACTAGTATCAAGGGTTGGTCAGACGGTATCAATGTTGGGTCAAGAGAATCTGTGTTGGAATTGGAAGTGTGAGAAATGAAGCATCAAAAGGAGTTTTCTGCAGCTATGGCATCAGTTCATGAATCTTAACATCCAAGTAACATATAAAACAGCGGCAAGTGAAAGAAGAGACTAAGACTTCAATTCTACAAGGTCTGTCTACACAAATTACACCACCTTGATATGATGGGAAGGAGGATAGCAGAAGCAAGTGAATTCGGATTGAATGCTTATGACCGGTGTGTGTATCCTCTTGCTTACACCATCTGATCACTCATCCATGTGCTTTCTGCTGTTGGATAACGTAGTGACGTTTCTGTATATAACCTGCCTACGGGTTAGGGATGACAACAAAACCCGAATCCACGGGTACCCACCCGACCCAACCCGGTTGATAGAACTCGAGTAGAGCTCTACCGGTGTTTTAGGGATTTGGGATCAATTAGGGATTGATCCGAGGTTTCAGAAAGAACTAGGGGAAGGGAAATTGGGATTTGTGAAAATCAAAGAGGAAGGGAGAATGGCGGCTGTTGCCAGCCGAGGGAAAAGAAGAGGGGAGGGAACAAGAGCTGCTGTGCGCAGCAGAGAGGGAAGAGAGGGAAGTGGGGTCGGCTGCCAAGAGAGAAGGGGAATTAGGATTCTTGATTAATCAACTTCTTAACCCTAATTCTAGTTACAATAGTTTATATAGAAAATAACTAATTTCCTACTACTACCCAATCTATTAATTATTCCCGAATAGCCCTCATAATCCGAATAATAATAAACCGACAATTAACCAAGTACTAAAAGTATAAGTTTCTATCATCCCCGCTTCCTTCGAAAATCAACCTTGTCCCCAAGGTTGATCCTCTAGCTCACTAGGTCTCCTCTTCATCATTCCCAGCATCCCCAGCATAGTCCTCTGCGTCATCCTCCCATCGTCCCACCAGCATCATCAAGTCTTCCTTGGGGCACTGATGCCCAATGGTGAATCGGCCATCACACTTGAAGCACTTGCCTTCACGCCTCTTCTGATCAATCTCAGCCGGTGACAGCCGCGCGAAGCCCTTAGGTATGGCCCGCGGCCCCATCCTGGCTACCGGAGCGGGGCCTCCACTGCCCGTGTTAGTCCCGGTCGGCCCTGCCCCCGCCGCTCCTCCTGCGCCTCCACTACTCCCACTGCTCGACTTCGGAAATCGGCCAATGGCGCCCCTCCAACTAGCGAGCTCTTCCTCCTTATGACCTGCAAGACGAAAAGCCGCCTTCAGAGAGTCAGGCTCGAAAACCCGGACTGCCGCTGCTATCTCGGGCTTGAGACCCGCCATGCACAGCCCCACCAGGGTGTCCTCTGGGACTCCCTTACACTGGTTTCCCAACTTGAAAAACTCTGCCCGGTATTCAGCCACCGTGCCGGTCTGCTTCAGTTTTGCCAACTGCTCGGGCGCCCACCCTTCTGACTTTCCGAACTGATAACGGAGCTCTTCCTGAAACATAGGCCAGGTGATCGGGGTGGCTGCAGCGGCATAAGACCGTTCCATCCACTCCCACCACTGGAGCGCATCTCCCTCCAGATAAAACGACGCCAGATAGGCCTTTCTCTCCTCCGGGACCGGATGATTTCTAAACCATCTCTCTGCTGCATACAACCAAAGACCTGCATCCTCTTGCCCATTGAATTTGGGAAACTCAATGGTCGGAGGCTTAGCTCGAAAAACCACTCCATCCATTCCTTCATAATTCATGTAGTGGGGCCCATACCTGTCATTTCCTGGAGTTCTCCACGGCTGCCCAAAAGAAGAGCCCGGCATCCGATTCGGATTCTCATAGCCATAGGCACCCGGATAGTTGCCCTGCAGGTTAGGGTACCCTCCTGGCCCGTGAGGCACCCCGTACGGAATCTCCCAGTTGGCTGGTCCCTGATAGTCCACCCTCCTGTACTGTTGGGCCGTCGGACTCGGCCGATGCCCGGTTCGACCCACTTCCGGACGACCCGGTCCGGTCCGGCCCGGCCCGGTTCGGCTCCCCTCGGTTCGGTCAGCGTCGGTCCGACCGATCCCGGCTCGACCAGACCCGGTCCGGCCCCCTTCGGTCCGCCCCATTGGGCCCGCCCCTGATCGCCCGCCCGGTTCTGTGGGCCCCCTCGGCCCATCCGGCCCCCTCGGCCCATCCGGCCCCCTCTGATCCATCTCCGGTTCAGCCCACTTGGCCTGTCGATCTGTCAGGCTAAGTTCGTCAAACTCGGGCCCATCCTCTAGATCCAACCACCCCAATCCGTTATGGACCTTCGTGTACTGGCCCATCAGCTCCGGTCCATTGTTCGGCGGAGGCCCATCTACATCATACCCGGCCATCTTGGCCTTTCCCTTCCGGGCCGCAATCTCTTGGGCCGTAGGCGTCGGTAGCAGACCCGGGCCCACGCCTAGCCCTACCTGCACTGGGCCTGTCCCCGCTCCACCTCCGCCGGTTCCCGGCCCGCCCTCGGCCGTCGCCCGCCCGCCCGGCGCCGTCCCCGCCTTCTCGAGCCCCGGCGCCGCCACTCCTCCTTCGGCGGCCGTGCCGCCTCCACCTGCCGGGGCCGCCGCCGTCGAGCCCTCGCCGCCGGCTCCGCCTGCCCCGTCCCCCGCCGACGAGCCCGCGCCCCCAGTGACGCCGCCGCCGCCCCCTCCTGCTCGCCCTAGGACCTCAGCCACCATCGCCTTCAGCTCCCCAATGGCGAGCCACACCCTCTGCGACTCCGCCTCCCGGGCTCGCGCGTCCGCCTCCCGAGCCCGCGCTTCCGCCTCCCGGGCTCGTTCACCCTTCAGCCGGGACCGGCGCTCCTGCTCCATGGCCTCCGCCATTTTGGTCATCTCGGCGCGGAGCTCTTCTCCCAGCGTCTCGTCCACCATCTCCCCATCCCGCTGAACCGGGACCTCATGACCGCCCTCACCCGCCATTGCCGCGGTCGTGGCTTGTCCTTGCGCCGCCGCCTTGGCGGCCTTCTCAGCTGCTTGCATCGATTTCGTCGACACCATCGCGTTCGTCGTTATTGGCTTGCTCCGGAACTCAAGAAAGAACCGGGCTCTGATACCAAATGATAGAACTCGAGTAGAGCTCTACCGGTGTTTTAGGGATTTGGGATCAATTAGGGATTGATCCGAGGTTTCAGAAAGAACTAGGGGAAGGGAAATTGGGATTTGTGAAAATCAAAGAGGAAGGGAGAATGGCGGCTGTTGCCAGCCGAGGGAAAAGAAGAGGGGAGGGAACAAGAGCTGCTGTGCGCAGCAGAGAGGGAAGAGAGGGAAGTGGGGTCGGCTGCCAAGAGAGAAGGGGAATTAGGATTCTTGATTAATCAACTTCTTAACCCTAATTCTAGTTACAATAGTTTATATAGAAAATAACTAATTTCCTACTACTACCCAATCTATTAATTATTCCCGAATAGCCCTCATAATCCGAATAATAATAAACCGACAATTAACCAAGTACTAAAAGTATAAGTTTCTATCACCGGTCAACGCGGGTAAAGTCCGTGTTGACGGGTTTTGGGCCAGGTTCGGGTTTAAACCCGCTACACTATTCATCGGGTCAGGTTGGGTTTAGGTAAACCCGCTCCATGGGTACTGTCCCGAAATGTCGTGACCGTGTTGATCGTCTGAAGAACGCTGCCATCTGGTTGTCTTGCCATGAGAAGGGTAAAGGGGGCGACATTAGCGATAAGGCGTTGTCTGCCTGTGCATCGCATCTAGCCGAGTCAGGATGTGGCTATGAAGGGGATCGTTGCAAGAGAAGGCACAACTGGTCGGAGGCTATTGCCGTCTCCCTGATGAGCCCAAGGCAGGGCGAAACCAGTTGGCATGCGTATGCAGAGAGGCTGGTCTTGAGGAATGAGTGCACCTCAAGACGCCGCACGGACTTCGGAAGTCTATGTCCGTGACAAATGGTATCAGAGCCTGGTTAGGCTGAAGAGCCTAGTTCCTCTCTCAGTACGACATAGGTCGTGTATGGGCCGACCCTATGCCCGAATGAGAGGCGGTCCTAGGTGAGCATATCAGGCGGTCCGGACGCAGATACACATGTGTTGCGCCGTTGTGGGGGACCTCGATAGGCTGAAGATGCAGCGGCCGAGAATGCCGTTCAACCGAGGAACTAACGCTAGCGAGAGCGTAGGGTGAAGGTCAATTGAGGTACAAACGCTGGGAGTAGCGTAGGGTGAAGGTCGACTGAGGTACTAGCGCAGCAGAAGCAAAGAGTGAAGGTTGATGTCGAGGGGCGAAGCGGTATGTGCGCGGGGCACAGCATGCTAGCGCGAGAGACGCGACCGGAGCCTGTCTATCAGAGGATGGTATCGTATGCGGACGCCCACAATCGGTTCGAGAGTTGTAATACATGCTGCGGAGAGAGCATTCTTCACCAGCACGAGGACGTGCTGCATTATGAGTGGTGGAGAATGTCACGACCCGAAATGTCGTGACCGTGTTGATCGTCTGAAGAACGCTGCCATCAGGTTGTCTTGCCATGAGAAGGGTAAAGGGGGCGACATTAGCGATAAGGCGTTGTTTGCCTGTGCATCGCATCTAGCCGAGTCAGGATGTGGCTATGAAGGGGATCGTTGCAAGAGAAGGCACAACTGGTCGGAGGCTATTGTCGTCTCCCTGATGAGCCCAAGGCAGGGCGAAACCAGTTGGCATGCGTATGCAGAGAGGCTGGTCTTGAGGAATGAGTGCACCTCAAGACGCCGCACGGACTTCGGAAGTCTATGTCCGTAACAGTACCCGCCCACACACATATAATTACTTTCCCGGTATATTTAATATTCTAAATAATATATCTTCCTTAAACAATAAATATTCTTTATGTTTGTGGAGACATATATAATTTGTTGTTTCTAATTGTTTAGAATGAAGTTGATATTATGAAGTGGAGAGTGAAGAAACTTAGTTGACGAGTAAGAAGTTTTCAATTAATCTTATTGTTTACAGATGTTTATCTTTAATTTTGGGGGTCGTTTGGATGGAGTATTTGTATGAGTTATTTGGGTTCAAATAACTCACATTGAGTTATTTGGGCACAAATAACTCGTTTGGTAACGTTTTACTGAAATGAATTATTTGGACAGTGAGTTATTTACAAATAACACAAAACGAGTTATTTGAAATAACTTATACTCATGTGTTATTTCGAAATAACTCGTTTTATCACTCTGCTTTTACCAAATACCACATGTCGAATACCACATTTGCATGGTTCAACCAAACGAGATACTTTATTTCAATTACCATTGAAATAATACTGAAATATCACATGAATAATAAATGAGTTATTTGATTCTAAAAATACCACATTGACAATTAACCCATCCAAACGACCCCCTTGAACAATTTGTATTGATCATTTGCGGTTTGCTTGTATGCTCTAGATTGGTGTTTTTTGTATGAATAATTTGTATGAGAAAATTATTGTTAAACTTTTATTTTGAAAGAAACTTGTTATTGTAAATTTTTTACCACAAAAACCCACGGGTACCCACGAACCCGCGGATACCCAGCGGGTTGGGTTGGGTTTGAGTTTTTCAAACCTAACGGGTTTTACCCCGGATTTTTTTGGCGGATAAACCCATGGGTTTGGGTTTGACAAAACCCGTCCCAACCCGACCCATTGCCATCCCTACTACGGGTTGATCTAACAGCTTCAAACACGCGGGTGGCCGGGCGATCGGACAGTGCAAGCAAGAGTATACACCCAGTCTTGTAAGCAGGATAGCCGTGTTGGGAATGAGCAATGAGCAAAAAGACATGGATATCCTGCTGTACGTACGGTACATGGTATGAATTAGAAGTCGAAAAAGTAGAGGGTTTCCAATTCCATAGTCTTACTTCTTCAAGGAAACCATCTATCTACACCCTACCAGCTGCTTGCTATCCTCTAGTCAAAGTAAACTACCTAAGATTGAGATTGCGTGGACATACTTGAAAAAGCGCCGGTTAAAGCTGAATCCCAGATGTTGCTAAAAGTTGACAGGAGAATAGGAATCACGATAGCTCTCCGTGGGTCCTCTGAATCTTCGAACCAAAGAGGCGAAGAAGCCCTGGCGTATCAGAAAAGCAAGTGGTAATGACTACTCCAGAATTGGATTTAGATGATTTTTTAAGTACATCCGAACCTCTTGGGATTGAGAGAGAGAGAGATTATTTACCTGTGTCCTCTGAGGTAATGTGATCCAAAAATCCAAGTTCGGCATCACCTGTGATAATTTCAGTCCAGAATGTAATGTTTGTGTGAAATGATAAATTTGATAAGATCCAATTGAAAGAGAGAAAATAAAACTGCGATAGCAACACTCAGAACTGGTTTGTGGTAAACAACGTACATCAAATCCATGTATCCCGAGGAAGAAATGCCGATAAACTGCACCAGCTAACATATAAGCTCCAAAAACACACAAGACACTGAAACAATGACGAAAGCAGTTAAAGCAAGATGATCGCGCTAAAGGATGCAACAATTAACTACAATACTATGCCATTCCTGGAGAGGGGTTCTGCTAAGGAGAAAGAGAGAGAGAAAGAAGATGAATTGTGAAAATGAAAAGAGAGGAACCAACATTATTATCAAGGTAGCAAACCAGCCCAATCCTTTGCCATGAACAGATACAACTGTAGCACACCCCGATGGATGCTGTAATACTGCAGCCTGTCAAAGGACACGGATAAATAAGACCATTTCCATAGGTTTCAGAGAAGTTACAATTCGTTAGTTTCCAAGCAACTCACATAGTCACAGGTCCCTGACTTCTGCAGTCCAAGGGGCCCCTGTTAAGATAGAAGGTTGTGTCATGTCTTAAGATACACATAATAAGGAGTTTCAAGCAAATATATATTTTGGGAAAATATACAATGGCGTTTTTGTTTCAAAAGAAAAAGTTTTCTTACTGTGAGTCCAGATGAATTACAGATGACAGAGACAGAGAGTGAACAGTTTTCCTTAGTATCAAGACTTGAGATCTTAACTATGACACCCTTCTGGGGATTTTGTTCATCTGCAATGTAAATGTGTGTAGAGAGGAGTCCTTTCAGAGGCGGGGATAAGTAAATAGCCCAAAGGCATGCTCTCATTAATGATCAGCAATAGCAACTTACCCATGATGTCAGCAGAAGTGCTAGAAACACCGCCAATAGTGCTGCACACATCATAGCCTGCATGTATGAGATGAATCTAGTTAAATGCCTTTACTGTTCTACTATGAACTGACAAGCACAAGGGACACATTAAGATCATGGTATTAGGTTAGTTCTTAGAGCCGGTTTGAGTTAAATGTTCATATCCAAGGGGTTGGATAGAACTTCATAAAAAACTTGAAGAAAATGCAACCAGTTGTTTCACATCTTTCCTGATTTACGATTTCCAAAGCAAGGATGGATTCACAATGACCATTCTAGGATATGTTCGTCCCTATGCTAAGGCAAAACCTTGTCCCAATCTTTAAACAACTGTTATTTCTTATTGGTAGTATCAAGAAGTTGCTTAAACAATAATCTTGTATAACATTCAGTGGTACAGTTACAGCTACATCATTCTAACATACACAGATAAGTAGATGCATCAAGATGGTACTACTATCCATGCTCACCTAACAATGACCCCAACACAAATTGTGATGAAAGTTTCAAGCAAAACGTGAAAGGACACATCCGTGCACATTGGAATTGGAATTTCTATATCACGTGTATAAGTGTAGCATTACCACCGATATTATTGGCAACAAGTGCACTACATCCACTGCCACAGTGAGATGGCCCACCACAGTCCTGCATTACCGAAAATAATAGTAAAATGTGAAATCCCCATGGTGAGAAAAATTTCACTAATATGAACAGACTGGGTTTCGAAACTAATTGAAATCTGGTTTTCCTAGTGGTAGTAGAAAATCTGTCTGATAGATGGAATCAAAATGAGTAAGAATCTGCAACACTTTAATTTCAGAGACTCCACAGGAAAGGTAGAAACACCAATAGGTACTTCAATTGCTCGGACCTGGGAAAAAGGTTTTCATGATCCACCCAAACATTTCTGTATCGATCTGTCCAGACTTCTAATACTATAATCGCTTTGGAATAAACAATGAAGTTTGCACTTACTAGTGGCTAGCTAGGAGTTCTTCTATTTTCATCAATCATGGTGGAGAAATTACTCCAAAACTTAAGATGTGTGTGGAATGGTAAATATACCAACAAAGAGTATTATCGTCTCCAATTGCTCACCGCCTAATCTACCAATGATACCATGGTAGTAAGAATTCATCGATGAGAAGCGCTTACCTGACAGCCAACACATCTAGGTGGGTTGTGATTAAATATCATTCCATCACAGAGCTGCTCAAAACAACCAAGGAGAACAAATTAAATGTCAAATCATCTGAAATGATTCTCAATCCAAACTGTTTTCACAAAAGAAAATATTATCTAGAAGCTTTGCAGTTCACATGCTTAACTTTGTGTGTCAAAGGCTTACTAATCATGAATTCAAATAGTCAGCTCAGGCTGTTGCCCTATTGTGTCAGGTAAAGGTAGACACTAGTTCAATCTCCTAAGTGCGTCACTGGTCTTTCATTGGCTCATATATAAGTAATCAGAAACAAAGTGTAACCTGATTGGTCCAACCTGAAACCAGAGCACACTCTCATTCTCCGCAACCTTATAGTACCTAAAAGCATCAAACAAAGGAAGAGTGTTTCTTAATCAGAACCCAATTAGCACTGAGAGAAACAGGTTTGTGGTTGAGTTATAAATTAAACGTGTGTTCCTTTTTAACGAGATATCCGAATTATAGGGCAAACAATTTGTTTCCTATAGCAGAAAATGGCATGAAACCGCTTTATTAATATTCAGAATATTTAAGTTACATTTACCATTCCGTACGATGCACCAAGTGTGCATTAAATCCACAAACTTATACATCAACCATCTCTAGAAATGCCTTTCAATTGCCTACATCATCTTTTAACCCTACACTCAAAGCAACAGTTCTAGCAAAGGCCAAACAGTATTCATGTAGAGGTCCTACTCCTACCAACTAGTTGCAGCTCAAACTGAAATGACCTAGGCCAATATCTTATACATCATCCTCAGTAGTGCACTAGTCAATACTACAATAAGCTGATGCCATCCCAGAAACAAGCCGTGCGTAAGTTGGATGATACCCAGGGAAGCAATCTGTCGAACACAATGAGTGCAAAAACAGAGAAACCCTTACTGCCCACTGAAGCAAAAGAAAAGAGATTTCAGAAAGCACTGTACCCATCTTCGCTGAGGACGCCGTGGGGAAATCCTGCGATAGGAGCAGTCAAGCTGAAGTTGAAAATCTGGCGGCCGTTGAAATAACTGACTTCGCAGGGACCGGCCGAGGCGGAGTGGAATGACGACGCGAGAATGAGCAGAGGAATTGCGATTAGCGAACATCTCAAGGAATCGATGCGTATTCCCATAGTGCCCGTCCTTCTGGGTAGCGTAACGTTGTGGATTTTCAGCACATTGATGCCCCGAGAAGGCGAGGAGCTCCGGAAGAAGGCGTCGGCGTCGGGCTTAGGAAAGTCAGCAACCGGATCTTCTTTCAGGTGTGGGGAACCAAGGAAAGGAATCTGAAACTGCGACTGCCGGCGCACCGTTTCTAGGCCGACGAATGCTCAATTTTCCAGGAAATTGCCAAGTGCCCCACCTGTTTTGTCTTAATTGTTAAAATAAGGACAAAAACGGACTTTTATGGCTGGCCCGTGGGCTTGTGGTGGCCGGCTTTTAAAATGGGCCGAGGGACAAGGCCCATCCGTACCCTCCCAAAGACGTTAATGGCGGGTGAAGGGGGGTTAAGGAAAGGAAGAGGAACCGAAGAAGAAAGGCGCCACTTTCCGCCGCCAACGAAAACGATGGAGTCGCCGAACCCAAACAGAGCGTTAACGAATACTCGCTTCTCCGACCTCAATCCGGCGCTTTCCGACCCGGTGCTCGATGCCTTGAAAGAAGGCGGATTTGATTATTGCACGCCGGTGCAAGCTGCTACTATCCCCTTACTGTGCGGCTACAAGGATGTCGCCGTCGACGCCGCCACCGGCTCCGGCAAAACCCTGGCTTTCGTTGTCCCTCTTGTCGAGATTCTCCGCCGGGTCTCCCCTGCTCCCAAACCTCAACAGGTGAGCTTCTTCACGTTTCTTCTGTAGCTGCACCCAAGTGTTGAAGTAGGCTTCCTTAGCTAATTGCAAGTCTGCATCTATAGTTAGGTTAGATAATAGTTCCGGTGACTGTTGATTTGTTGAACTTTCCCCACAATTGTTCAAGCTGGGGTCCTTTGTTTGCTGACAGGTATTGGGAATTATCATCTCTCCAACGAGGGAGTTGTCTTCACAAATATATCATGTTGCACAACCATTCATCGATACTTTATCAAACTTCAAGTCCCTTCTCCTTGTTGGAGGAGTGGATGTGAAGGCTGATGTGAAGAAAATAGAAGAAGAAGGAGCTAATTTATTGATTGGGACGCCTGGTAGGTTGCACGATATAATGGAGCGGGTTGGTGACTTGGATTTTCGGAACCTTGAGGTAAGGAAATCTACTACCCGGATTTCGAACTGTATATTGACCTGGTTTCTGAATGATATTGTGGTACTGAGTAGTGGAAATGAGTCGGCTTTCTTGCGGATGTGAACTTCGTTTTGCTACTTGTTGGAGCAGGTATTGATTCTAGATGAGGCTGATAGGCTCTTGGATATGGGATTTCAGAAGCAGTTAACTGCTATTATATCCCGTTTGCCAAAGCTTCGAAGAACTGGTCTGTTCTCGGCTACTCAAACAGAGGCAGTTCAAGAGCTGGCCAAAGCCGGTCTTAGGAATCCTGTAAGGGTTGAAGTTCGTGCTGAAACAAAGTCGTTGGATGGTTCGGGGTCATCTCAACATCCAGGTTCTTCCAAGACGCCATCTGGGCTTCACCTTGAGGTATATTGCTGCTTCCCCTTCTGTTGAGCCCTACCCTTAACCTTGAGGTATAGTTTTTTTGAAAATAACTGGTGTCTGTCTTTATGCAGTATTTGGAGTGTGAAGCAGATAAAAAACCATCAGAACTTGTTGATCTTCTTGTCAAAAACAAGTCTAGAAAGACTATAATGTGAGTTTTAGCCATATTTTGTAAAAGGGTGCCTGAACAGAAACCTCAGTATCGAGGTTGACATGGGTTTCTGGCTAACAAAGTCTTTAACTCTGTAGATACTTTATGACATGCGCTTGTGTTGATTACTGGGGAGTTGTTCTTCCTCAATTGTCTGTTTTAAAGGGCCTATCTTTGATTGCTCTTCATGGGAAGATGAAGCAGGTAAAAAAATTTGCTGTAGATTCTACCCAATTCACTTTCGCTTTCATAAGCAAATATTGTGCCTCCTTGCCATAACACTACTTTTCCTTTACAGAATGCTAGAGAAAAAGCATTGGCAAAATTTACATCTCTTACAAGTGGTGTTCTTCTATGTACTGATGTTGCGGCACGTGGGCTCGACATCCCAGGTGTTGATTATATAGTGCAGGTAATATGAACTTCTGAATGTGGGCTGCTGTCTAAGTTGGGGAGAAATCCTTCTGTCTAAGAATTCTCCCTTCATATTTGTTTCTGCAGTATGATCCGCCGCAAGATCCAAATGTATTCGTCCACAGAGTTGGCCGAACTGCTCGTCTGGGTAGGCAAGGTCATGGCATCGTTTTTCTATTACCTAAGGTGTGGTGCACAATTGTCTAGTTATAGTAAGATTAAGCCACCATTGATAATTAGCCCCATTAAACTCTTTCAGTCTTATGTTCCCTTCATTGAATGCTTTCATATATGATTAAGTTGCCTATTTCAGGAGGAAGCCTATGTAGAATTTCTGAGGATTAGAAGGGTTCCTCTTGAAGAGAGGGAAGGTACTGATGATGCCCCAGATGTTGTCGCTCAGGTAATCACTCCTGAACAAATTAAGTAAATAATGCCTTGAGTAGAACCTTGGGCTGACAAACCTAGTTTGTTTCCTGCTCTTCTGTATTTATTTCTTTTATTGTATCTTGCTTCAGATTCGATCTGTTGCCAGAAAGGACCGAGATGTCATGGAGAAAGGGCTGAGGGCGTTTGTCTCCTTCATCCGTGCATATAAGGAACATCATTGTTCTTATATTTTCAGGTTGGGAATGTGCTTTCATGTCTCAAACTGTGTCCATATGTGAACTTTCCTTCCAGGCGTCTGCTGGCTTTATGTTATAGAATTATATAAAGTAAATTATGAACTTTCTATTCCCTTAGGTGGAAAGAACTCGAAGTTGGGAAGTTGGGCATGGGATTTGGGCTATTACAACTTCCTTCAATGCCTGAAGTGAAACATCACTCCCTCTCCATCGAAGGTTTCGTTCCAGTTGAAGACCTCAAATTGGGGGAAATAAAATTCAAGTTAGAAATCTTGTCCTCTCTGATCTTGCTTTTTATGGAAATTCCGTAATCTTGGTAATATTGGCTGGCTGATTATGTGTTTCCTTAAAGGTAGAGGTGTTGATAATTGTTGATGATGTGTAGGGATAAATCTCGAGAGAAACAAAGGAAGAAGAATTTGCAAACTAAGAAAGAAGCAAAGCTGCATGAAGATAAACCCCAGAAGCCCAAAAGGAACCCTGATGCTGCAGCCCCAGCAATGAGGAAGAAAACAGCTAAGCAAAGGCGTGCTGTCCAGAATGTGGAAGATGAAGAGGAGCTAGCTCGTGAATACCGTTTACTTAAAAAGCTGAAGAAAGGGGCTATTGACGAAACTGAATTTGCAAAGTTAACAGGAACAGAAGAGTTAACTTGAAGTATATGGTCATCCCTCACCTCAGCACTCTCCTGCTTGTGTTCATAAAGAAACATAGGACATAGCAGGAGGGATCTAAAGGTATCCAAGATTTGAGGAAGGAGTATTGCACCCAGCAAATTAGCAAGTTAGCTGATAGAAGCTAGACACCAACAATGGGAGAAGTTCGCCTTGCTTCAGGAGGTTATGCGTTCTGACAGATGAGAAATCTTGTAATCACTTTATTCCAATTTTGTGTAGTCCTCGATCATCATTCCTGATTTGTGGTCATTGGAACCTCCCCAAGGACTGTAAGATTTATAAAAGCATGTGTATGAGTTCCAACTGACATGTACCTTTCGGCACCATTTATTTGAGCAGATTTTGAGTAGGAAAAGAGAAGTTTAGATTTTTCCAAGAGAAGCTGATGGGAAAGCATCCTTATGCAAGACAAGGATAAGTTTACTTGACAGGCTATTTATGATTGTCATCTCCTAGTTCCTTCAACCATTGCCTGGCTGTCACGAGTTCGTTGTTCTGTTTATACAAGTTCTGCTTGGTTTTATGCCGTTTAATAGTTAGCACTATTCGACAAGCGATTCACTCATTGTACTGCTACTTTTTTTCATTGCATGTTTTACAAGGCCAAATCCAGGCTTCTCAGTATTCTACAATCCTCCAAAATTCCTACAAAAATAGGTAAGGGTAATTAGGACTCACAACTAAATCAACTAATCCTTAATGTATTGATTGTTACATATTGCGGGGTTTCTCAACTGATCAACATGGATCCTACATCGAGGAAGCATTCTCTTCCCAGTGCATGAGCCACTTTCAGGGAAGTTTCTTTTCTCTCTCTTTCTGCCTCTCGTGTCAGTTTCGTGTCTTTTCGCTCCTTGGAGCTTTCTCAGAGCTGCCCACCTAGTGGCATAACAGGCTCTTTCATCGGGAATCCGGTTGCATACGGATTACCGTTCTTTATTATTATATGTTTTGTATTTTGTTGTCCGGCCATGCCTTGGGGCTTATCTTGGATAAAAAAAAAAAAAAATCCATTTTCAAACCTATAGACCTATTAGCATTCTATTCTATATAATTAGTGACTACGCTTTTTGCCCGAACCTCCTATGTACTGTTTCAATTTTTGGCGTTTAGTGAGTTCTGGCCTGAAAGAGCCTTCTTGCCCCTTTACCCAATCCCTCGCACGGATGCTGAAAAGAAAACACCCCATGGCGGCATGGCCTGTCAAAACTCAAAAGCAAAAGAAAGAGATGACTTCCACAAGCACCCATGAACTAACCCTACCTTTCACCTTACCTCTGACTTCTGATCATCAGAGTAAAAACGTTCACCTCCCTCTCTCTTCCTGCCAAATCCTTCTCCCATACGCCTCCCTCTCCAGTCACATCCCTCAATTTTTCTCCAATAACTTGTCTTTCCAGTCCCAATTACATCAGAGGAATTATTCCATCCGTCCCAATACGTTTTATCCTTCCTCTCTCTTTTCATTCCACCCACCGAGCCAAAAGTTGCAGCGGCGGCAAGAGTGGGAATCCACGATCAGCATAGAAGAGAGCACTTGCAACTGGGTTCACTTTGATTTCCTTATTGGAGCTTCCACGCCCTCCAAATATGAATGTAGTGTTTTGGTAGTATGGCGCTCCTACACAATGGAGAAGACTGATGCAAGTGGACCGATGGTGAGCATGAACTCTTCTCCTACTGGTTCCTGTGGGATTGGGCGTGTCAGCTCTGATACTGATGCTCAAGAACTCCTAGACCAACAGTTTTTCCAGAGGATGACTGGGAAGAGGTAATCGTCGTGGTAATTCGATTTCGTGGAATAGCTGGTTTGTATGATTATGGAATCAGTGCCATCCCCAGATTGTCGGTACCTTGCACAGGAACTTTCCTAGCAGAGCCACGGAGGTTCGATATGGAGGACGGGATCTGATCGTCGAGAGAGGACGAGGGTGCAGAGGGCGATTACGTCGGCGGGTGTTTGAGTTGCAGAGACGCAGGTTGCAAGGTGCTTTTTCTGTATTGATTTTCTCGATGTACTCACTAATTCATTTATCGTATACGTTCTATGAGACTTAATGTGCTTGCATTGCTGCATTTTTTGTTTCGGTTAAACAAAATCACCATCCTTGCTGCTTGGTATGGGTTCCGAGAGGAGTGCCAGATCTCTATGTAGTTCAAAGTTTCATAACCTTTTCCGAATTGATTGGATTTCACGGATTTGTTCGCTTCGCCTCTCATCTCTGGACCTTTTAGCTTCCATATGAAACCAATTATTTACCATCATTTGCTTTTACAGGTCAGGACCTGTAATATAAGCAGGATTTCACTGCTGCTTGATTCTCCTACACCGTGGTTACTTACCTATTCCAGTCCATTCCACAAACTGTTTAATATTGTACTTATTTTGAGAAGCGTTCTTGCTTATTCTTATTTGGTTTCATGATTAAGACACTGTGAGTTTATGTTACATACTCGACAACTCTAAACTTATTCGAACTGAATTCTTATACTTGCAATCTTGCCTTTGGATTTGATTATAAATTAATTCAGTTATCTTATTACCAGTAAAACAAGTGTTTGAATATTACATTACAGTTCTCGAATACTTGCTCGGTCGATTTGTCTTATCAAGAGATGCTTTGATAATTACATTGTACGTGCTGCACTTTTGGATAAGGTTTTCATATCTTCATTGTCGAGTCCTAGAGTGTCGGGTGACGATGATACGATGATGATTATGCATGTAGTGAGGGCACCTTTGCTTTATGTAAAGGGTAGTTAAGTTAATTTGATATGGAGTGGGTTGCTCTGCACTAATATAGATTCTTGCTTTATCACCAATCATGCAAGCAAAGAAACCATCCATGCAAGAAGAAAATACTTATGATATATGGACCAATGTATTGTTAGGTTAAGTAATCTTGAGCGTATGAATTGAAACAAATATGGGATATGGTTAGTTCCGCTCTCTATCATCTCCATTACTCTTATTTCTCTATCCTAGATCTCCATCGTGTCAAAAAATTAAAACCACTCTTATATGGAACACGTTTCCCTTTTTCCATATAGACTTGGAAAGCCTCTTTTTGCATCCTTCTCATTTTTATTACTCCTTCCTACCTCTGTTGCTACTAGGATGGTGGAGGACCGACTGATGAATTCTACTTTACACTTTTGAAGGTTGCCTCTGAAGACATAGTCTGGTGCATGGTTGTATTCTTTTTTATTGATGATAGAATGAGGAATCCATGATATGTTTCTTGATTTAGCTCTGATGGTTGCTAATCTTTTAAATTCTGCTTTGTTTGCCTCTGGTGCTTCATGAGCATAGTTGGCTCCATCTCACAATTGTTCTTCAAGTCATTTCTGCTTGATTGAAATAGTTTCGTATGCACTGAAATTGAATTGTCCACATATGCTATTCTGGTATGGGCCTGTCTTGCTCCCATGAGTCTCAGCTTTTCTTTGATCTTCATAAAGTATTAGCTTATACCAGTCTAAGCCATTTGGGAGGGTTAAGGAGATTGCGATTATCATTACTTCATGTTCTTTAAACTCCAGCCGAGTTTACTGAGCTGGAGATGCTTTTTTTCTTCTTATTTGTGTTTGATAGGATCGCTTCCTGACGAGTTTGATTGCATCATATGGTTGTTGAGCAAAGGAAGAGCAGAAAAGTAAAGGTTAGAGATGAAGGAAGATGGAAATGGCCAAGTGGGTAGACAAAGTTCAACTGCCAACATTTCTTTATTGATGTTTTAGGAGTTAATAGATGCTCTTGATAATTTTGTTATTGTTGATATGTTTTGGTATATGTTCTTTTGCCAGCTTCTTTAATTTTTTACTGTAGCCTGCTCCGGATACCACCTTCACATTCCATTGCAGTTGCTGTGAAGGAAATGGCGGGATTCCTGTCTAACAATATTGGAACATCATATCGAGCAACAGAATCAGCAAAGTATATTGCCTCTTCTCATGAATATCTAACTTGGTCGGCTACGTGCAATGTTGTGAGTAGAAGTGTTGAGTAATACATTTACATTTCATACTGCTGGGCCTTCAATGTGAATTGAATTATTCAAATTTCTTGACATCTTTCCCAATTAGTTTAATCCCTTGGATTAATCAACTGTTCCTTCTATCAGGACCCCTCTTCCAACTATTGTACTTAAACAAATGTATAGCTCCCCTATGTATTATTCATCACTCTCTTTCCACATAGAGTAGTATATACTATATAGTTCGAGTTCCATAACAAGAATGTAAATGTTTTTAACAAAACATATGGTACTTGCTCCTGACCATAAAGAGAAGGTAATAAAAAATTTTGTGATTCTTACGATTCCATTTTTTCTAGGCTAAAGCAAAACTTAGATAAGCTGATTACAAAAGTGATTTTTACATAATTGTTTATTGACATGCCAAATGCACAAGTAACTTCACTATTACTATCTGTGGAAATTTTTTGGTACGTACTTGGATTGAGTACCTCTTATTCATCATAGTAGTTAGCTCAAACAGATATTTTCCTGGCCATCATACTGATACAATTTTAGTTCTCGCGGCGTTGCGCAGCCGCCGCGGGTATTGATTCTAGTCTCTTACTAAGAAGTAAGAACACCACTTGCAAGATCCTTAATAATCCTTCGATGAATTCATGGCGTCTTGAACACCCTGATACCCTGGTCTACTTGTCACACTTCCTGCTCCAATTCCTAGTCAACATCGTATAACCCATGTTTGGCTTCAATTACCTAACCCAACTCTTGTTTCATCCTTCTACCCATTCCCTCCACGAGTTGATGTATTTGTTGTGCTTGAGGCTGTTTGTCAACTCCGCCATGGAAGTGGATTTCCTTCTCGATCTCAACCCAACTCCGTCTAGCGCCCTTCTTCAGCTTTTTTCAGGTCACCAACTCATCATTTCTCTGAACTGCTGGCATTCTTCCCAGTACCCAGCATTGGCAGACATGTTCGACAGCATGACATAAGTCACCAGGCTTTCTCATCCATCGATATCTCCATGAACTCGGAAAGCACTAAGCAAGCGTTTTCCAGGCTGGATTAATAAAATCAAAACTTATGTGTTTCTGCTAGAATTGCAGAAACTCATTGACAAGGTATAGTAAGTCACCAATACTCGTTGCAAGAACACAATCCATTCTCAAACCTGTGAAACCTATTAGCATCTCTTACCACGAACACCATTTGCAAAATCCTCGATAACCCTTTGATGAACTCATGGCAATCAACACAAACTCTCAAGTTCTTGAACACCCTAATCACCCTGGTCTTCTTCTCCCACCCTCCACGAACCAAAGCTAACCCAATTGCCAACTTCTCGCTATGAACCCTAAGGTTGTCCTGCTTCGATTCTTCGTCAACATCGTATAATGCATGTTTAGCTTCGTTTACATACCCCAACTCTTGTTTCATTCTTTTTCCCATTTCCTCCAGTACCCCATGTATTTGCTGTGCTTGAGGGTGTATGTCATCCCCACCATAGAAGAAGTGGATTTCTTTGTCGATCTCAACCCAACTCCGTCCAGCGTCCTTCTTCAACTTTTTTGAGGCCACCATTTCTCTGAGCTGCTGGCACTCTTCCCAGTACCCGGCATTGGCAAACATGTTTGACAGCATGACATAATTCACTGGGTTTTCTCCATCCATTTTAAGAACTACGTCGCCAACTTCTCTTCCCATGTCAATATCTCCATGAACCCGGCAAGCACTAAGCAAGGCTTGCCATATACCCACGTTGGGTTTTACTGGCATTGAAGAGATGAGATTCTTAGCCTCTACTAAACGTCCAGAGCGCCCAAGAAGATCAACTACACAAGCATAATGCTCAACCCTAGGTTTGATACTCTCATCACTGCACAACTTTGATAGGTATTCTTGACCTTCTTCCACTAGTCCGGAATGGCTACAAGCTAAGAGAATGGCCAAGTAGGTTACATCATCAGGGTTAGTGTTGTGTGATTGCATTCGGTTGAAGAGATGAATGGCCTCTTTTCCAAGACCATACTTGCCATAGCCGGTGATCATTACAGTCCAGGAAACAACATCTCGTGCAGGCATCTTATCGAACAGTTTCTCTGCTTCTTCTGTCATCCCACATTTGAGGTACATGTCTAGAGCTGAATTGCATACCGAAATTCGCAAACCAGAGGGTATTTTAATGCTAAAGCCATGAATCTGTCTGCCTTGCTCTAGGAGGGCTAAATCTGCAAAGATGGCCATCATACTTGACATAGCATATTCATCTACTTGTATTGTACTTTCCCTCAGCAGGCTAAAAATGTCCATGACTTCTGCTAAGTTTCCTTCCTGAGCATACCCAAGAATCAAAGCACTCCATGATATCACATGTTTCTTGTCAATTTGATTAAATACTCTTCGAGCTTCAAACAGCTTCCCACATTTCGAGTAGGAATCTATCAAGGAACCTGCAACGCTGACCTTGTCAGAATACTGGAATCCATTGGTGATCAATGAAGCGTGAATTTGGGTTGCTTCTCTGGCCGCACCAATCTTAGTACAAGCCTTCAGGACACTTGTAAGTGTAAACTCATCATGAACTTCGCCTTCTTCTTTCATTTTCCTAAACAAAATCAGAGGTTTTCTGCCATTTCCTGCAAGATTGTACCCTGATATCATCGCATTCCAGGTGATCAGATTTCTGCCTGGCATTGTTTCGAACATGCATGTAGCTTCAGCTATCCTTCCAGATTTAGAATACATGTCAAGGATAGTGTTAGCAACCAAAATCTGCAAATCGTATCCAGTTTTCAGACAAACATCATGAATTTGCATACCAATCCAGGGAACACTGAGCATTCCACAAGCTTTAAGATTTGTGGATAGAGTGAAGTCATTTGGTTTCAACCCGGTAGAACCCAATTGGGAGAAAAGGGATAATGACTCCTCTGGACGTCCATTTTGTACGTAGACGCACATTAGAGACGTCCAAGAAACTAGGTTTCTTTCAGGCATTCTGTCGAACACTTGGCGGGCTCGAACCACTTGGCCACATTTGCCGTACATGTCAATCAGGTCCTGGCTTAGCATCATATCAAACCTAAACCCGATTGTCAGTAAAGCGCCATGAACCTGAATTCCTAGATCAAGTAGCTTATTCTTTGAGCAGCTCCTTAATATATCAGCATATATCTGCCTCTTTCGCAACGTTGCGAGTAAGGGTTCCTTCAATTCGCTATGAAGAATTCCTCTACTCGCCATTGGTGATGACGTTTATACTATAGTTGGCGCTGTGAGTTAGAAGAGAAGACCTCGTCTTCCGTCCTCGTAATCATTCCGCCAGAATTACAGTAGAGGTGAAGAAAACTAACGCTCATATTCTGAAAACCTCACTCTCTCCGAGCAAATTCTGGCGGCAAAAAATAGAGACATAAACAATTGCAACAAAGCTCCCTGCTTTTCCAACTAATCTAAGCTAATAATTAAATGGGTTTAAAGAAATGTGTACATCCACTCATAAGATCTCGTGGCAGGTAAAATCATGAATCATGAGCTCATGGCGGCAATTGATTTTTGCAAGAAGTACCGTGAAGCAATGATGGGTCGAAATAATAGAAAAAAGAAGTTCGGATCTTAAAGCAAGTCAAGGTCATCCCACGTTAAAGAGCACATTTTTCCACAGACCCATTAAGGCTGCTGTAAGCCTGTAACCAAATCGAATCAGAGCGAGTAGATGCTCATCCGTTTCCTTCGCCTCTTCCTAGGCCGGCAAACGCTGGTTGCTCTGTACAATCTCCTCCAATCCTTCCGCAAGAAATTCCGGTCACTTCTTCCCTCCATGGCCATACCGGAAGCCGATCAGGAGCAAGACCAGAAGGTCTCCGAACCGGTGTTTGACCCGTCGATTCCATCGATTCCAATCTCGTACCCAATCAAAACTCTAGAAGAGCTTCACTCTGGAGCTTACTTCGATTCCTTTCACTACCCTTTCAACAAATCATCTGTTCCTCTCCAGTTTCCATCGCCGCCTTTTCCTTTGCCTAACAGACCTCGGCTGCTGGTGTGCCATGATATGCAAGGAGGCTATGTGGACGATAAATGGGTTCAGGGAGGAAGCAACCCAGATGCTTATTCCATCTGGCATTGGTATTTGATGGATGTATTCGTCTATTTTTCACACTCTTTGGTCACTCTGCCTCCACCTTGCTGGACTAATGCAGCTCACAGGCATGGAGTCAAGGTAAAACTCGTTTCCCCTTTTCGTGGACTTTTTCATTTTGGGTTTGGTAGTTTGTTGGGTTGTAATTTCCTTCTCTTTATTTTGATTTCATGGAAACTTCTCTAAGGTGTTGGGGACTTTCATCACAGAATGGGATGAAGGTAGAGCCATTAGCAGCAAGTTGCTTGAAACAGAGGACTCTGCTCGATTGTATGCTGAACGTTTGGCCGAACTAGCTGCTGCTTTAGGCTTTGATGGATGGCTGGTACTACTAATCAAGCTATTTCCTTTCTGGTCTTTTAGAACAAAATTACATCATTCATGTCTTATCGCTAGTAACATCCACTTGCTGTCCTTCGTAGATTAATATGGAGGTGAAATTGGATGTGATGCTGATTCCTAATATGAAGGAATTTGTTGATCATCTTACTCGGACTATGCATTCCTTAGTGCCTGGATCACTGGTGATATGGTAAGTTGTTGGTGATAAGTTTGTATAACAGGATGAACAATTGTATAACTTCTCATGTCATACTCAGGTATGACAGTGTGACAATAGATGGAGATCTTGACTGGCAAGATAAGTTGACTGAAAAGAACAAACCTTTCTTTGACATATCTGATGGTATATTCATCAACTACACATGGAAGGTACTTTGTTGTTGTT